GTGAGCCACCACCGCCCGGCCTTAAAGATTTTTTGACTATGTATACAGTGTTCTGCCTGCTTGTATGCCTGCACGCTATAAGATGGCACCAGATCTCATTGTAGATGGTTGTGAGCCACCATGTGGGTGCTGGGAATTGAACTCAGGACCTCCAGAAGAGCCGCCAGTGCTCTTAACCTCTGAGCCATCTCTCCAGTCCCTAAATTAATATTTTAAAAATCTCGAAAAGGCTGGACAGACAGTTCTGTGGTTTAGAGTTCATATTGCTCTTTCAGAGAACCAGAGTTTGGTTGCGAACACCTGTGTCAGGCAGCCCGCAACAGCCTACAAACTCCAGTTCCAGGGGATGCAATGCCCTCTTCTAGTCTCCAAAGGCAGTGTGTGAACACACACACACACACATACACACACACACACACACACACACACACACACACACAGTTAAACAGATAAAAATGAAACCTTGGAAAAAGAAGGAGACTGGCCAGGGCATTTCAGGAAGAAAACTTGAAGCTCTCAAGACTGCAAACGTGATGGCAAAACACATACAGGTTAATTTGGACTGGATCTGGGGCCTGAGGTAGAGACAACTAAGTAATGAGTGGAAATTGAGTGTGTGTGGGCAGGAGCCACAGCAGGTTCCTAGCACAGGGGGGATGGAATGGGCTGTGTGCTTTAGCCAGCCCTCCACGGTGGTCCCAGACATAGCTGCACCCTTCAAAGACCTGACTGTGTCCTCCCTATCTCTGGACCACTCTTTCTCTTGTTCTGTGCAAGGTGCTACCCCCTGGTCCCTCCCTCTGTGTTGCCACTTAAGCCCTTCTCATCAACCATGCCGTGTTCAATATTAATATTTCATTTTCTATAGCATAACTAATGGGAGAGGGAGGGGACCATGTCTGTAGCTCAGTGACGGATAACTACCCTCCTCAGACAGGCAAGTTAGGAGACAAGAACAGAGCTCTGTGAGCCGGAGGCCTTGTTCGACAATGCTGGCTCTACCACTTCTTGGCTGTGTGATTTTAGATAAGCAACTCAACCTCTCCTGTTCAGTCTCATATCGAAACAGGCTTAGTGGCTGTGTGAACCTCTGCAGCTAGATGCTAGGAGTGGGGTGTGCAGGCACTGAGACTGTTGCTACTTCTTCCTCAATTCTTTGCTAGGTTACAGGTTCACAGAGACCCCACACCCGAGGCAGCCTTGGCTAGGGCCCTTCCCAGCCTGCTGCCCACCTTCTCCACCCCCAACCTCCTCTCACAGGCTGAGGTTGCAGTTCACGCTGGTCTGCAGCAGGTAGGCCTTGGCGTTCTGCACTGCCAGCTCACGGGGCTCGGGGTCAGGCACCTCTCCGACGAAGGGCATGAAGCCCAGGTCAGAACGCCCTACGTGGAGAGTGGGGTCGTCCCTCAGGTATGGCCCGTGCTGCATGGTCTGGTCGAACGGCTGGTCCTCTCGTGGGAACATGTTGAACTGGTCCAGGAGGCCGGCACCCGGGTCCTGGAAGTCGGTATCTAGTTGTTCTAAGAGGCCCTCGCCCTGAGGAAACTGCTGCATCTTTCTGTTCTCATCCAGGTAACCCCGTGGAAAGCCTGCTGGGTAACTTAAGCTCATGGACCGGTTATACTCTGTGCCTTCCTCGCCCTGGTTTTCTGGTGCCAGGCTGGACCTCTGTGACCACTGCGGCACGCTAGTTGACTGCTGGTCCTGGCTGCCCTGACTGCTCCGACTGCCCCGCTGTGTAGGTCTGGGCACCCCATCCTCAGGGATGGACACCAGAGGCTGCGAGGAATCTCGACTGCGTGACCTCTCTGAAGCTTGAGAAGCCCTCCGGCTTTGGGGCGAGGGATCGGGGTTGGGCGTTGGCTCGCCCATGTCTTGAAAGTGTGTGGATCTGTGGGAGGAAGGGTAGCTAGTGCTGGCGGCGCCTGCACCCTGCTGCCGTTACATTACTAGTGCGTTACATTACTAGCGCGGGGCGCCTGCAGGGTGGGAGCTGAGAGTGCGCAGGCGCAGTCTAGCACTGCTCCGACTTCAGTTTGTAGTCTGCTGCAAAGAGGACAGACAGAGCAGCCATGCGGCACCTCCTTTATTTGTGTTAAGGCAAAGCTCTAGGTGGCCCACCCCGTCCCTCCCCCCAAGCCCCCGCAGCTGTCAGCTGTTCCCCTTGCTCTCGGTTTCCCTGGCCTCTGGGCTGGAGGTCGTCAAGGATTCCTCCACTGCGTGGTTGAGGCTCTGGGGGCTTCGCTCATCCTTGGAGCTCGGTCCGACTGCTGCTGCCTCCTGGTGGCGGGAGAAGGCAAGAGGCAGCGGGTCAAGAGCCGGTTGCACAGTTAGTCCCATACCCGGGGCTCTCTCTGCTCCAGCCTCCCTCTGCAGCTCTAGCTGTCCCCCTACCTTAGGCAGGGGACCCTCAAGACTAGAGTCCAAGAGCGTAGTTTCGGCCAGCCCTGAGTCGTCGTCCATGCTGATGAAGATGGCCGGGGTCTCGCATTCAGGACCCTCCTCCCGGTATTCCATGGCCTCCTCAGTAGGGGTGGGACCAGTTCGGGCTGCCGGCACCACCGCGGGCATGGAAGATGCTGAGGCAGCAGGTGCTCCTACACCTGTGGGCTTCAGCTTCTGCTCCTCCTCCAGCTGCCGCTTCAGGGCCTTCTCCTGAGCCAATCGCAGGCCGATGAGGTCCTGAGGGGGCCGCGGAGCAGGGGCCGGGGCTGGGCCCAGAGCCAGAGCCAAGGGCTCTAGGTCATCCTGGAGTTGGAGGGGTACTCAGCTCAGGGAGGGAGGCCGGTCCCCCAACTCCCAGGATGGAGGAGACGGAGACCACCACCAACTTCAGAAAGCACTGCAGTTTCTCCATCTGGACATGGGGGTGGGGTGTGGGGTGGCTATTCCCCTTTACCAGGAATACAATCTTGGGAGACTGTGGGTTTAACAACTGGGCCTCTTGGGGTGAGAGACACAGGCAGGTGGGCCACACTGCCCTCACCTCTTCCAGGGGCCCTGCAGGTGCTTCCTTGACTTCGGGTTCCTGCTTGCCGCTTGCCTCCAGGATGGTCATGATGGAGTTGGGGATGTGTGCTTGCTAGGTAAAGGGAAGGCCAGGACCGGAGCTGTAGAGAGCTCTGGCCAAAGGCACCTCTCAGCACCCTGTAACCCATAACTCAAACCCTTCTGCTCGCTTGTCTCCACTCCGCCGCCCAGGTACCTGGTGGGGAGTGAAGGAGCGCACGTGGGCCAACAGCGGCTCCCGGAGTTCTGGGCACTTGTCAAAGACCGCGCTAAGCTGCTGCGGAGGTAGCTGCAGGATGACCTGGAAGCTCTGCGGCTTGGTGCGCTGGCAGCACTTGATGAAGCCCTCCCATACCTTGGGGTACTTCCACACCTGTGAGGTGGGAGGGGACCATTAGGCAAAAGCCCAAACAGCCACCTCCTTCCCGCAGACACTGCCATGGCTGAGAGCCCACGTGCCACCACCTGACAGCATACTCCAGGCTTCATACAGCCACCTGCCCAGGAATGCCTTTCTCACCTAGGAAACTGTACTAGGACATAACCCAGTGAAAGGGGGTACCCCACCCACCCCCAATGCCTAGGCCAGCACAGTACCAAGTGCTAGGACAGCACCACCTCATGCTGTCCTCTCAGCCACCTCTAGCTGGTGCCGTCACACTTAATAGGGTGGAGGTGCAGGGACCTTAGCTAGATGCTGCACAGGACAGCCTGTGAACAGAACCCAGCTTTAGGACAGAGGATGGAACTTGATTATCTCCACAGAGTAGTTCTAAAAGTTGATGGTGCTGTATGCTTGAATCCCAGCACTTGGAAGACTGATGGAAGAGGATCACAAATTTGAGTTCTTGGTTATTCTGGACTATAAAGTAAGACTCTCACTAAAACAACTCCACCCCCCCACCCCATTGTGGTCTCTATAGAGACAGGATGCTTTCAGTTGAGCTATGTGCCCCGCAGGGCCTAGGGGTGCGGTAAAGGGAGACACCCACATCTCTCTGATCCCTGTTTTCATTGGTCACCCTGTAGTCAGTTGGAAGAGAACACTGCAAGAGGCAGGGTAGGTGATCCAGAGACAGGATCCTGCTCCCCAGGCAGCTGAGACTTGCCCCACTGTGGCCTCGGGCCAGAGCAGGTTACCTGCTTCATGATGAGTCGGGCCAGGATGTTCATGACGAAGCCCCCCAGGCGGGGGTACATGGTCAGGGACTGGATGACGGTCCGCATGAGCAGCATGGGCAGGGGGCTTTGCTCCATCAGCTGCTGCATCACCACAGCTAGCACCTCCGATGTGTACACATTCCGCTCCGCAAAGCACAGGTTGGTGGCTGTGAGGAGGCGGAGAGTGGGCCTGTCCTCTCTGCCTGGATGTTCCCTGTTAAGTGGAAACCCCACCCCACATAGCTTCTCCATCCCTACCGCAAAAGACCCTTTATGAGGATGCTCAACGGTCCTGTCCCCAGAAGATATAGGTAGGTGTGTCCAACCCCTAGATACCCTGTGGTGCCCCAACTGGGAGACTCAGCCTCCTCCCTGAGGGCAGCCCTGGGGAGTGGGGTAGAGAGCATGCTCCAGAGTCTGAGCCCTGGGGCCTGTCATAGCCTAAGAAGGGTGGCTATAACCCACCAAGGGGAGGGGCAAGAACTGCTGACACCCTGGCATCTACAGAAAAAAGTTTGGTCTCTGCCAGAAGGCTGACCAAAGAGATTAGGGTCTGTAATGGGGCAGGGCAGATATGACAAGGGACACTTAGGAGAAAAACTGCAAAGGGAGCAGGAAGAGAGTAGTGAGGGCTCAACCCAAGATGAGGACCCAACTGAGTAGCCAGCGCCCACAGGATGTGGGAAGATGCCACACTGAAAAGCATGGAGCAGACCTTGCTTGGGGTCTAGCTCCTGGGAGTGGGTGGCAACATCAGGGCCAACCGGGCTGATAGGTGATCCCAGGAGCTGCCTCTGAAATCCTTCCCCAAACACCACTGGCCATGTGAATGTGTCAACCAGGAAGTCTTTATTGAGCCAGAAGAAAGGGTTCCCCCACCCCACAAATCTGAGAGGCCAATAGAGGGGAGGGTGGTCCTGTAAGGAGGAAGCCCTAAGAGAGAGGAGTGGACACTGTAGAAGATGCACAGGCTGCAAGGCAGAAGAGAGAGGCCTGCCAGAACCTGAGGAGGGGTCTGCTCCTCTATGCAGACGTGCCCCAGTGCTACCCAAAGGGGCCCAGTCTCTTCTTGTGCTTCCCACTCACCCTCTCACTCTTTCTACTTGGCAGCCCAAAGTGTCCTCCATCCTAGAGGGCTGCATGAGACCAAGGCCAGTTTCTCTCTCACCTGGAAGCTCTACTTGGTCCTAGCTCTGACCAGGTTCAGCTCACTATCACCTCATCGCTGTGGGTCCTGCTCTGGATGGACCCACTTCAGCATGTCCTTCCCGAGTCCCAGCTAGGCTGGATCAGGGACATCAGTGTCCCAGCCGTGTACCCTGCACTGTGTTGGGAGGGCAGGATTTCACAGGAGCAGACAGATGAGATGTAGTGAGGGCTGTGGGAAGCTGGGGCCCAGCAATCCAAAAAGGGGATTGTACTGTACAAGGTAGACCCCTGGCTACTAGCCACCTGTGTAGCTTTTGTCAGGCCCCTTTCTTCCCTCTGTGACTGGACTTCTATTCTGGATCCCAGACGGCTGTGTGTGCATGTGCGTGTGTCTCCAATTTCTGCACAGAAGCAGGATCGCTCCCATTGCACCTAAAGTGAGGGTTTGGTAGAGCACTTGCCTGCCACACCTGAAGCTCCCGGTCCACTCCCAGCATGGTAAAAGGTCAAAGAAAATGTGTGTGCGTGTGTGTGTCCAAAGTCCACAACCCTGGACCACAACTTTTGAGACCTGTCCCTGAACCCTTCCCCTGGGCCTGCAGCCTCCTCTGTTCTGTCTTCACAGGCCCATCCCGTTAGGACTGTTGAGGAAGAAAAGCAGTCCCTGGAGAAGCTACTTCACCCAGAACAGGAAACGCGGAGGGACAGAGAGAGGCCCAAGTAAAAGTGAGCAGAGGTTGGAGGACAGGATGACAGGAAGGGCCCCATCCTAGGACAGAGCTGATGCTGGCCCAGAAATCTCTGGGGAAGGGAAGAAAGGAAAATGGGGTGTCTTCGCAGGGGAGGCTGGGTTGGGGTCCAGTTGGGCTCAGGCTGTGTTACACAGCTAGCTTCTGTGAACACTGGGCCCTAATCTACACCATACTCACCAAGAGCCTCATGAGTGCCAGGAGTGGGCTTATGGCACCAAGGGAGAGCCTGGCTCAGAGGGATGCTGAACAGCCAGGGCAGAGGGGCCTGCCAGACTGTCACCAAGCCCCCGCTGTGGGGTCCTCTGTTGCCTCAACTCAGGCCTGGCTTCTGCTCATGCTAACAGAGGCCCTTGAGCCTCTGGCTTGCTCCATGGGCTCCGCTTCCTTGAGTTCCTTAGGGTAGGGTGGGAGGGACAGCCCACACTGATGGGGTAGGCACAGCAGTGGTGATTATCTTCAGTCCAGTGGACTCATGCAGGGACTGAGGCCCCGCCCCAAGTCCATGGGAGCCGGGCCACGTAGGGACAGGGGCGTCTCACCTTTGATGATGGATTTCATGTCACACTTCACAGAGTCAATGTTGTGCAGTGCAATCAGCAGCTCTCCCGGATTCAGGGGGGACAAGGCTGAGTTCCCTTCACCTGCAATGGATGGCAATAGGGAAGGGAGATAGTACAGAGGTGGGTCTCAGCTCAGACTTGAGGAATACTAAATACAGATAAGACACCCTCTGCTTCGTGAGGACTGGGTGACAGAGGGTGAGACTGCGTGAGGTGGCCATAAGTCTTCACCACTCTCCGCCTCCCACCTTGTGGGAGATGCCTTGCTGTGGTCTAATTGTTCCCACTGGGTTATGAACCCTGAAGGCAGGATTGGGCCCAGCCATCCTAGTACTGACTCTACATAGCACATGACCATGGGCAGTTAGAAGGCAGGGCAGGGTAGGGCAGGGCCAGGGTCTCACTAAATGCTAAGTGGCTTCAACCTTCTGCGGTTGGAGCAAAGAGTGGAAAAAGGCAGTTCACAGAGACAGCCTCCTCAGGAGTCACATCACCTCCCACTGTGCCCCAACTGTGGCCGCGGGGACCAGATGAGGAACTTGTCCACATCACAGGCTATTTTTCCCTCCTCAGAATTCTTTCATTTCTCACCACAGTGGACAAAATGCCTCCTGGGGGCTAGGATGGCAGAAGGAACTGGCAGGGACAACAGTTCCTGGACCCTCCCCACACGACCCTGTGTAGCGAGGAGGTAAACTGAGGGTTGGCTAGGAGGGAGGGCACCTACCGTGCTGGGTGCCCAGCAGGCGGTTGAAGACCTCCTTCACCACAATGGGGTTGAGTTTGATGAGCTTGGGCAGGGCCTGGATCACCTCTTTCTAAGGCAGAAGTGGTGGGGAGAGGAGCAGGAGGATGAGTTAGAAGGGCCCCACTATTCACCTACTCATCCCAGTGAGGCCTCCAAACACATAACACATAACACATGTTCCCTGTCTCCCCAAAGCTGCTGCCTAACTCTGTTGGACAGTGTCATCCTCATTTCTGTCTACATGGGGATGGGGTATCCTTAGCCCCAAAACTCACTAGGGGCACAACCTTGTGGAGACCCTGCTGTTGCTGGGGAGTTTTCCATAGGCCAGGACAGTGGTGTGTGCACACTCACGCTCACAAGCATGCAGACACACACAGTAAGATGCCCTGTGACTGTGACGCCTGAGCACTGCCTGAGGAGGCTGGGGACATGGTGTCCAACTACTTTCCACAGGGGCAAGATGTGCTCCCACAAGCCTCTGGCCCAGCACCATGGAAGCAAGCTGGCCACCATCCCACTCCTGCCCTACCTTCTCCAGCCCATTGAGCACAGGGATGAGGAAGCGCACATCAGGCAGCCGCTTGTGGTACAGGTCTCGGACCCGCTTCACCAGCTCTGGGGATGGCGGTACTTCAGGAAGGCAAAGAAAACAGAGTTGGGGTGATAAGGAGGGGACAGAGGAGGTAAGCATATGGGAGGAGGGCTTCGTGGGCATGGGGAGGGACACTGCAATTCCAGAGCTGGATCCCCAGACTCTCCCTTCCTAAATGCCGCTCACATGGCTTTTTCTCTACAGAGGCCAAAGGACGGGAGAAATTCACAGGGGCAAAGTCATTTGGGGACTTAGCAGCTCCAGCTCTTGCAGGGGAAGAATGGGTGGGAGGGAAGGTAGAAGGCAGGACCCCAGGCACCTTTGTCCGTAAGGCTGTGCAGGCAACGGGTGACCAGCGTCTCTGCCCCCTTGGGACAGTTTTCCACTAGCAGTAGCAGCTCTGGTGAGTTCATGCCCATCCCTCGGATCTAGATGCAAAGGTCAGCAAGACCAGGTTACAGTGAGCATTCGAGGAGGTTGCAAAAGCTGGGGTGGTTAAGGTCACTGGGCTCTGGGTCTCTCCTAGTGTCAGCCTTGATCTGTGTGGTGGTGTCCTCTCTGGCAGGTCAGTGACCCAACTATCTCAAACCTTATATGCCCAACCTCTGTGGCAATGCCTAGGGAGGTTTTCCTGATCCCTGACTACCTTCCTGCAACCTGTGATCCCAGCTTGGCTGGATAACACCCAGCTGAGGTAGACTGTGGTAGCTGCTGCAGCGATGGATGCCCTTGGCATCCTCACCTCTAGGCACTAAGGACACTAAGGCACTCAACCCCAGAGCTGCCTAGCAGTTACTTCTTTTTCTCAGCACTGGGCTACAGCACCTTAGGAAGAGCCTCACCGCCCTTCTCGCCCCATTTCTACCCGGTGATTTCCATACTAAAAATATCACGAGAACAGGGTTGTGTACACCTGTAACCCCAGCGCTTGGGAGGTTGAGGCAGGAGGATTCCTAGAAAATGAGACCTGCTCAAATAACAAAGCAAAGCTGGGGTAGAGCTGACACACAGAACAAAGGGTTCTGAGTCCAGGAACGAAGAAGGCAACCATGTGAACTGCTTTTCATAAAGTGGCCCCTGGTTAACAGCAAGGGGAAGGCCAGTTGAAACGGTAACAGTACCCAATAGCTCAGATGCTAATGTGGCATGCTTGGGGACTGGCCTGCACCCTCATGTCAGGGCACGATGAGAAGCACAAGGGCAGAATATGAATAAATCCAGGTGTGCCCCACTGTAGGCTCTATCTCTGAGCCACTCTATGCCTTCTCATGAGTTGAAGACAGACATAAGCACCACCCATAAGCCAAAGCCACGAATCCAGAAGACAGCCTTTTGTGTCTACTGAGGTAGACACCCAAGGAGCAGCTGGAGTTGGGGGCTCCAGCCCTGCCCAGGTGGGCTCAGGAGCCTCACCGGCTGCTCAATGACCCTCAGCACTGTCCGCTTGATGTCGGCGATGGCCTCAGTGTACACGGCTGCCAGCTCGTGGATCAGCTTGTGGTTCTGAGGCAGGAGAGCCAGATAGAGATAAAGACACTGCTTCACTGTCTCCTCGGTCCAGGGCGCGGCCACCTCTGACAGGACAGGGCCATGCATCAATAGAGGCCTCTACTTCCTTCCCAAAGCCCTGCCCCCAGTGTCTGAGCCTTCTCAGTGAAGTCAGTGCAAAGGGGGAATAGGTGGAGAAAGAGTAGGATCCCCTCCAACCATCAAGCCCCAAGGCAGCTAGAAGGTCATTCTACAGTGCAAATTTAACCCTCTCTCTTCTAGTCCTGTCACAACTATGACCTCATCATAAATGTCCTTACACTGGCTGGCTGTCAGGGACTACAAGGGCAGCCCATCTGGCAACTCAGTCACCCTCCACACTGGTCCCTACTTACAGTTGGTAGAAAGACCCTCATTGTTAACCCTTTGTGCCACCACCTCCTTTGAGGGAATCACCACTTCTGCTCACATATCCTCCCCAGGCTCACACCTCTCCTGGGAGGGCTTTCCACATCCCTGCAGGACCTTCTATCTGTATTTTGGCAGGATCTGGGACTATGTATGCTATAGGACTTGGCCTGAGGTAGCCCTGGAACCCACAGGCTGCTCTCCTGGTCCTCGGCTTTCTCGTTCTGCAGTCCTGTCTGTCTGTCTACTATCCAGCAGCCATTCTAGTAGGCTGGGTGGAGCTCCACACAAATCAGATGAAGCTGCATCAAACCTGTGTCCTTGTCAGCTCCGAAGAGCACTGAGGGCGGGTTGGGGTGCACCAGGAGTTGCAGGTAGTTGAGGGCGAATTTTTCCACATACTCTCGAAGCTGTTCCTTCTCATACATGCGCTTAATGAAGAGTAGGGCCTGGGAGCGCACCTGAGGGAAAATGGGCAAGATGGACGGAGTGGGAGCATGGAGATGGGGCTGCACGGCTATGAAACAAGCCCAGCTGAGGCCCCAGAGAGCAGTGAGTGTAGCTCAGCTTGCCAGTGTCTCACTTCTCATCTTGCTACTCCCTGCTCTGCTCACTCTCCTAATTCCTCAACAGTGACTCTCCCTGCCAAGTGGACTTGGCTTTGGAACTTGGCAGGACAGGCAGCCCACTGCCTGGAAGACATGTCACTGACCCAAGCTTCATTTCACTCAGACAGCTGGGAGCCACAAGATCAGGGTCTGGTCTCAGCACTGTTTGTACCAAATGGCAGCACAGGGCCAGAGGTGGTGTGCTAACAGTGCGCTGACTGCTCATGCACCACCAGGGAGGAGGTTGGTGACACACTACAGTGCAGACAGGTCCAGTCCCTTCTCGTCTTTACCACTTCTCATCCAGAGCATAGCTACTGTGTTATGGTTATCACACATTTCCTCCTTCAGGAAGCTTCCTGACCCCCATCTCTTGTCTACACAGGTGGGTGCCTGGGCACTGTATACTGTGACATCACACTGCCTGTGTCACATGGGCTCCTCTACTGCCTGCTGCCTCAGGCTGCAGTTACAGTTCATCAACATGAGAAGAGAGTGAACAGGCCTGCCCTCTTTTGAGGGCATGTGCACAGTCAGGGTCAGGATAGCACCCCTGACTCCATGGTGATGTCACACCATGGTAAATGGAAAAAGAGTTTTGAGGAAAAGGAATGCCAGGCTGGTTGGGTATGGGCACAAGCTCACCCTGTCCTTCTCATGAGAGCTGAGGTCAAGGAGAACATGCAGGTACTGGAACTGGCGAGAAGGTCGCTTGAAGATCAGGTCTCCAAGTGTCGACATGCCCAGGTAGGCACGACTCTGCAGATGGAGGCAATGCTCAGCCTGCTGTGCCCTCTTACTCTTGCCTCCCCTCCATCTCTCAAAGCAAGTTTCCAGGACTGGATCCTCATGCCACCCTTGCCTGCAAGTCTACAACACAGGTCTTCAGAGGATGCTTACCTCATCCTCACAATACTTCCGTATCACCTCCAAAGCACTCTCGGTGATCAGTGGGGCCTCCAAAACCACCTTGGTGAAGACCCTGCCCAAGAAAGACGCGGGTCTTGCTGGAGAAGTGTGTAGCAAGGCAGCCTGCATCTCAGGGGCCCAAATGCACCATACAAATTCTTTAGCCCCTGGATCCAGCACTTCAGACTGGCATCTGGGGCGGAGATGTTCCCTCTCTGAGGCTTTCTTTCGCTACAACTAGGGATGGAACCCAGGGTTTCTGGTGTGCTAGGGAGATACTCTACCACCAAGCCACTGTCCCATCTCTGGGAACTGTTAGTACAGATGGGAAACCGAGAGTGACAGGCCACTTAGACCAAGTAGCAGAGTTGGGAATGACCCCGATGAACTTGACCCAAGTCCTCCCTCCCACCTACAACAGCATGGTCTGCACAGGCTTCTGTAGGAACTGGAAAAAGAAAGACAGGGACATAGGGAGGACAAGTTTGTGTGGCATTGAGGAAAAAGGGGAAGTGGAACATAGGAGAGGAGATGGAGCTTATAGCCAAGCCCTCACCCATCCTTCTGGTCCGGTTTCTCCTGCAGGCCAGAGAGCAGGCGGATGAGGCAGTCCTCATACTTGTCCAGAGTGCCTGAGGCCCCTGCTGCAAGGTAGGCATTGTACTCCTGGTAGAGCCAGGCGAAAGCCAGGTCCAGGCGACCCCGGACATCTTCCAGGATGAAGGACAGCACCTCTGACTTGAGGCCAGAGTCGAACTGTGTTACGAGGCTGGCCAGGATCTTGATACGCACCTGGGGGTAGGTAAGCAACTGCGTCAGTATGGCAGAGCCAATGCAGCACGCTTCAGTCACGCCTTGCACTTCTGCTGCCAGGTTCAGGAACCTCCAGGGGAAAAACCATATAAAGTGGATATAGTGGCTAACATCTATAATCCCAGCATCAAGTTAAGGTCAGCCTGGTGAAAAGAAACCTTATCTAGAAAACCAAATCAATCAACCAACGAACCAACCAACCAACCAATAGTTCAACCAAGGAAGGCAGCATGAAACATAAACACGGCACTATCACAATGTACGGTGGTGGACAAGGAAGAAACAAACTACCGTTTCCAAACCACTCCAAGTTCCCAGGAGTAACTAGGTACCTCAGTGTATAGGAAAAGACCTTGAAGATTCTTTTTGTCACCTTTAACCATGAACAGGATGTGGGTGACAATCACAAGAAAGACTACAGAAAGAAACTTTCTTGAAAAACTAAAAACAAACAAAACAAAACAAAACAACAACAAGAACAAAACAGAAAATAAAGGCTAGAGAGATAGCTTAATGGCTAAGAGCACTGGCAGAGGACTTGAGTCTGGTTTCCAGCATCCACAGTTCCAGGGAATCTGGTGCCCTCTTGTGGCTTCTGTGGGCTCCAGGACACACAGCGCATATAAACGCATGCAGACAAACACACATTTATAAATTAAACAAATTTTAAAAAACAAAGCAAAAAACTTGAAGTCAGGTCTGTCTGGAATATAACACTGCTAAGAAAGGTGGCCAGTAAGAACCAGCCCTGCAGGACAGTCCCATGCAGAGCTGTCCCCCATTCCACAAGCCTCCATTGTCTAGAAGGCTGTTGCTCTAATTTTACATGGGGTGGATTCAAGCCAGGAGAAGTGGTTTGAATAGAGGAGCCAGGGGCTGGGGCTAAACTGAGGGGCACACCTGGGCAGCCCCACTGCAGGCTACAGCCTTCTCAGCCCTCAGGATCCGCTTCACAGCGCCCAGCTTCATGGCTTCCACCTGGGCATCCGTCAGGGGCTTTAGCACGTCACTCAGACGAAAGATCTTCTTGCGCCCACCAGCGCCTGCCAGCCTACATGAGGGCAGGGACAAGAACAGCGTCTTGGCATGTTTTCTGCAGACCAGTCTGTCTGGTGCCCCCAGCTCTGAATTCCCTGAGTGGACCTCAGCACACCAGGAAGACAGTGTGAGGAAGAAATTGTTACTGTTTCTGCCACGTAGGCTGTCTCCCTGTGAGAACAGGAGGGGCCAGAAGGGGTTCAGAAGAGTAAGCACAAAGATCCTGGGTGGGTGGGTGGGGGATGATGGAATGGGGAGGGAGCGAGGTCGTAAAGGAGCAGGGAACACTCACTGTGTGTGGGTGGGGTGGAGACTGGATTTGTGATAAAGGTGATGGGAAGAATGAGGAAGAAAGGATGGTGACCAGGAGTCCTTGTTGCACATTAGGAACCATAGTAACTTCCTCACTGTCACCATGACTTGTGGCCCTGAGAGTTCTCTAACCTAGTGACTCCATGACAAAGGCACCGCATTCTCCCAAGGTGAGACAGAATAAGGAGGTAATTTGGTGGTTCCTGCACAGACTGTGAAGCAGAGGGAGAACCTGGTCCAACCCTGTCTGCTTACGCTCACACCTGCAAACAGGGCACACTCATGGGACGGGGGCCCATGTTCCAACTAGAAGAGGACTCACCGTGGCTGTGTGACAGGGATGATGGGTTCCGGCCTCCTCTTGGCCTGGGGTACCTCCTCCTCCAAGGGGGACATGGTGTTCAGAGAGCCCACCACAGAGATGGCCTGGCCCTGCACTGACAGACGACGCTTGATCAAAACGCTCTCAGGCTTCACCACCTTCTCCTCCTTAGGCTCTTCCTTACACTGTTTTGTCTGCTCCACACCTGCACGGAGGCAACCATAGCACCCTCAGCTCATCACCTGTGCCCTGGGCTGTGCTGCGCATGCACTGCACCCACCATGTGCAGCCCACCTAGCTCCAAGACCCAAGGGTCGAGCCAGAGGCTTCATTCCTGAGGCACAGCCAATGTCAGTCGTTGAGATACGTCACAAGCAAACTCTTAGGTTTATTACGTGTGGCATATGCGTATGTGTGCCTTGTGTGTTAGTGCTGGATTGTGTACACATGTGTGCACGTGTGCCTTGTGTGTTAGTGTGCTGGATTGTGTACACATGTGTGCACGTGTGCCTTGTGTGTTAGTGTGCTGGATTATGTGTACATGTGCCTTGTGTGTTAGTGTGCTGGATTGTGTACACATGTGTGTACGTGTGCCTTGTGTGTTAGTGTGCTGGATTGTGTGCACATGTGTGCCTTGTGTGTTAGTGTGCTGGATTGTGTACACGTGTGCCTTGTGCTAGTGTGCTGGATTGTGTACACATGTGTGCACGTGTGCCTTGTGTGTTAGTGTGCTGGATTGTGTGCACATGTGTGCCTTGTGTGTTAGTGTGCTGGATTGTGTACACATGTGCCTTGTGTGTTAGTGTGCTGGATTGTGTACACATGTGTGCCTTGTGTTAGTGTGCTAGATTGTGTACACATGTGAAAATGATAGGTGTTTCTTGTTTTTGAGACAGGCTTTTTCTGTGCAACCGCTCTGGCTATCCTAGAACTCACAGCGATCCACCTGCCTCTGTATTCCAAGTGCTGGGATTAAATGTATGTGTACCACCACCCAGCTCTACTTTTATTAAGATAGGGTATCACTGTGCAGCCTTGGCTGGCCTGGCCTCACTCTGTAGACCAGGCTGGCCTCAAACTCAAGAGATCTGCCTGCCTTCACCTCCTGAGTGCCCAAGTTAGAAATATGTGTTACTCTGACCTGCTTTTTTAAAAAAATTATTTAAATTATTACATTTTATTTATGCATTGTGCATATGATATGTATGTATGTACAGAGGTCAGAATACAATCCTGTGGAGTTGATTCTCTCAATGAGTCCCAAGGATTAAACTCAGGTCATCAGGTTTGGCAGCTGGCACCTTTGCCAGCTGAATCATCTATCTAACCAGCCACACATTACTTTTTGAGACAGGGTCGCCCACAGAACCCAGAGCTGGATTCAGCAAGACTGCTTGGCCAGAAAGATCCCCAGGATCCGCCTGTGTCTGCCCTCATCCAGTGCTGGTTACATGTACACACTACCTTGGCTTTTCTGGGGATGTTAGAAATCAGAACACGAGTCCTCGTGCTTACATAAGCATACCCACTGAGCCATCTCCCCAGCTTTTTTTTCTATTTATTTATTTATTTGTTTATTTATTTATTATTTATTATGTATACAACCTTCTGTCTGCGTGTATGCCTGTAGGCCAGAAGAAGGCACCAGACCTCATTACAGATGGTTGTGAGCCACCATGTGGTTGCTGGGAATTGAACTCAGGACCTTTGGAAGAGCAGGCAATGCTCTAAACCTGAGACATCTCTCCAGCCTCCTCTCCCCAGCTTCTTTTTCTAAAATGTTTATTACATCTCATTTATTTGTGTGGGGATGTATATGCATATACCAGGCTGCATGTGTGGTGTGGAATTCTCTCCTTCCATCATGTAGGTTCTGGGGATCAAACTCAAGTTCTGGGCTTGACAACAGACACTTTTACCCCTGAGCTGCCGTACCAGCCCATTAGGGGTTTGTTTGTGAGTCAGGGTCTCATGTACCCCAGGATGTCCTCAAACTCACTATGCATCCAAGGATGACCTCTGATCTTCCAGCTTCTACTTCCTGGGATGACAGGTGTGTGCCACTTGGGCATCCTCATGATAAACAGTCTTTAACAGCAGAGGCCATATGACTCCCCACCCCTTGGAGCACACTGCTCAGGAAAATCTGAGCGCACCAAAGACGCATAAGCCCTTGTTGACAGCAGCCATGCTCATGAAAGGTCTGAAACAAGGTCTGGTGCAATGGCGCAGAGGGTAAAGGGGAGCTGAGTCCAGCCTTTCAGACCCACATGAGATGGAAAGAGAGAACATGCTTTGTGAAGTTCACAGCCGATGGGCACTGGAGCTGTGCTTGTGGTACTGCTCATGACTTGTACTTCAGAGAACAAGCTGGCGCCGAGTGTGCCCACACCTGTAATTCCAGCACTCAGGAGACCAGGCAGGAAAACTGGTGCAAGTTAGAGGCCAGCACGGGTTCCACAACAAGACCCAGTCTTAAAGAAGACAAAAGCCCAGACTGGGGAAATAGCTCAGGGGTGAAAAGCACTTGCTGCTCTTGCAAAGGACCTACATTTTTCTCCCAACACCGCCATCTCCAAGAGATGTGACACTCTCTTCTGATCTCTGAGGGCACACATCAAATAAAAGCACACTGATGAAATAAGGGAAAGTCTCCAAGGCTCAGGCTCAGTAACCTGACACTGTCAGTCTGGCTCAGTCTGGACCTCAGCGTCAAGTCTGTCGGATTTCAAAGCCTCAGGACACTGAGCACTCTGCCTCATGATGGACCCATGATGGGAGGTAACATGTTAGATGGCACAGGACCATCTCCACAGCTTCTCCACAAGAGTCCAGTGCCACGGCCTGGCTGGGTCAGCACAAGACTCACCAGGACCCAGTCCTGCAGCTGTCATCTGTGTGGCCATGAGCCGAGCAAGGTGCTTGATCTGGGCTTCGGTGCCTGCTGACTCCACTGGGGTGTAGATGGCTTGGAAGGAGGCAGGCATGGTCTCAGGCAGGTACACCATGCTGATGAGAACCTGTGGTATGCCCAGGAAGGGGACACTTAGCAAGCTCAGCCTAGGGCAGCATGTGAGAAGCATCAGGAACTGAGGCTGGACTGGGCCTGCCCTCCTCATCTTAGCTTTCAGAGGAGCTAATGACCTGCTAGGCAGTTCACTTGGGAGAGTATCCCATCCCAAAGAACAGAGTGATGGGGAGTGGGATAATGAGGATAAATGGCCTCTGGAAGGAGGAAGGGTGAGAGAAGGGGCCCAGCCAAGGGTAGGAGGGACTCCTGGCTGATGCTACCAGGAGGTGGTCAGCAAGAGTATGGATAGGGAAAGGACTGGGATCCGGACTCCCATCCCTAGGACGGCCTCACCCTCCTCACCAGATTGGCTACATTGTCAGGCGTCAGGAGAGGCTGCAAGAACTCAGCAGTGATGTCCGTGTCTGACTGGCCTGAGATCTGGGCTGAGGCCTTCGAAGTCCCTGATGGGCCAGGCTCCAAGTCTTTGTCTTCATCATCTTCTCCCAAGTTGGGCTCTGAGAAGGAAACAAAAGGCTGGCTCTCTAGACTGCAGCAGGACCTGTGCTCAGGGAGCCGAGTAGCCCTGCCTCTAGAAAACCACTGCAAGGAGACAGAGCAGGCAAGGACCTAAGTCTCAGTTTGCCATGACCAAGAAAATGTCATAGGGCCCCAGGCACCCACCTCTTCCTGGGTTTCAGGTCTCATTTGGTTGGCAAAAATCCAAAAACCTCTAGTTGATCACATTAGGCTCTAAGATGATGGAATCATTAATATATTCCATACTGAGGATGGAATGCAGGACCCTACAGTCACTAGGGCAGGTGGCCCCAGTGGGAAACAATATTGCTGTTACTGTTCCTTCACTGACATTATTCTCCTTCACCTTTTTTTTTTTGAGACAGGGTTTCTCTGTGTAGCCCTAGCTGTCCTGAAACTTGCTCTGTAGACCAGGCTAGGCTTGAACTCAGAGATCTACCTGCCTTTGCCTTCGAGTGTTGGGATTATGCCCTACCACCGCCCGGCCTCTCCTTCATCTTTTAAAAGAGTTGTTAATTTAGTTTATGTGTGTGGCTATTTGCCTGCATGTATGTATATCTATGCACCATGTGTGTGCATTTGAGGTAAGAAGAGGGTGACGGATCCCCTAGAACTGGACTAACAGATGGTTTATGGGCTGCCATGTCAGTACTGGGAATTGAATCCAGGTCCTCTGAAAGGGCGGATAGCACTCTTAACCCCTGAGCTGTCTCTCCAGCTCCACCCAGTCCCCCTTTCTGAGACACTGTCTTATGCAGCTCAGGCTGGCCTAAATTTACTATGTAGTTCAGACCAGGTCGGAACTCATGACCCCCCCTGCTTCCGACCTCCACGTGCTGGATCAGAGGTGTGTACCACCATGCCTTGCTAGAAGATTGTCATTCCACAGTAGGTGACAACTTAATGGATATGGACACAACATCAGCTTAGCAAGCAAGTGAGAAACATATGGGCCAAACGCAATGTGTGATCCACACCCATAAACAGCACATAGAAGCCTCAAGTAGTGCTTCTGCAACTTGTCAAGAAGTTTAGAGACATACGGAACTGGACAAATGGCTCAACCCTTAAGAGCATTTGCTTTTCTAGAGGATCCAAATTTGGTGTCCATCACCCATGTCACACAGCTCACACATGCTTGTAGCTGCAGAGGGTCCAAAGTCCTCTTTTAGCCGTTGCGGGCAACTGCACTTACGCTCTTACACCCACCCACAGGCATACATGAACATACATGATTACAAATAAATCTTAACCAACTTCACAATGGTCGTGCACACCCTTAATCCCAGCACTCAGGAGGCAGAAGCAGGAACATCTTTAAATTCAAGGCCACCCTGTTCTACAGAGTGAGTTCCAGGACAGCCAGGGCTACACAGAGAAAAAAAAAAAAAATGACAAACAAAAAACCAACAACAACAACAAAAAAAAAAACCCCAACCAATCAATCTTTTTTTTAAAAAAAAAAAAAAGGAGAAAACTGACTTCAAACAAACTTTAAATGCACAAACTGTTTACTTCAGTGTCTTTCTTTGGGAGTATTCTATGGTTAGATGTGTAGGATAGTCCTACAGCATGGACAGAAATGAAATGTCCACAAATGTAACTGTCAATCTTTCCATCACATTACAGAGGATGTGGCCACCACTAAAAAGATGCAGTGCAGACGCAGAAGTAGCTTAAACTTAATGCCTGAGCAGTGGCTCAAAACCATCTGGAATGGCAGTTCCAGGGAATTTGCTACCCTCTCTTGTCTTCTGGAGACACTAAACATGCACATAGTAAATGTACACGTGTGCAAGCAGAACACTCACACATAAAATAAAACCAATCTAATGAAAAAGTTAAAATAAATAGTAAAAAGAACAGGCCAGTGACAGGCTCAGCAGGGAAAGATGCTTCCTGCACAAACCTAAAGATAAGCTCAATCCTCAGAACTCACATAAGGGAGGAAGGAAAGAAAAGACTCCACAAAGGTATGCCTTGACCTCCATACACACACGGTACATGTGCTCCCCCCATTAAAAAGCAGATGCTGTGGACTTCAACATGCACACATAGAAAGTGATCCATAGAAACCTAATAGAGCACAACACTGAGCAATGGAGGGTGTAGCTAGATCCCCACAGCAGCCCTTACGAAATGAATTAATTCCATTTGAATATGAAAAAGAATTTCATAGCTGGGTACACTGACACACATCTTTAATCCCAGCACTTCAGAAGCAGAGGCAGGTGGATCTCTATGAGTTTGAAGGCAGCCAGGACTACATAGTGAGACCATAACAAAAATGAAACAAAACCCCTAAATAATTTCATAAATGTTCTATAAACAAACAGATGACATTTTTAAAATGTTGGTACTGGGAGGCTGTCATGGCCAACACTATTGTTTAATATTCCAGAAATCACCTCAAAGTTGGGGTGGTGACACACACCTGCAGGTGGAGGAAGTAAGACTGTCTCAAAAACAAACAAACAACCCCCCCCCAAAAAACCCCAGAAATGTTAAAAATTTCAAAATTAAAAAAGAAAAGTCCAAGCACACTCCTTTAATCCCAGCATTAGGGAGGCAGAGCCAGGTGGATCTCTGTGAGTTCAAGGTCAGCTTGGTCTACAGAGTGAGTTCTATCTATGATACTCAGGGCTACACAGAGAAACCCTGACTTGAAAAATCACAGAAAGAAAATCTAATCTGTGTGTGTGTGTGTATTTATATATATATATATATATATATATATATATATATATAGAGAGAGAGAGAGAGAGAGAGAGAGAGAAAAGAGCCTTCCACACACATACAAAACAGGAAAGGAGACATGAAGGCGACTCTCACGACTCACATCATTCCTTCCTGTACCATCTAAATGGCCCCACACCCGTCATCCCAGCAGTCCAGACATGGTGGCAGAAAGACCAAGGTCATCTTCTCCTAGACTAAAAGTCTCTACTTAGAAACACAAGTTCACACTTATTAAATGTTCTATATGCTACAGTTTTCTACTTGGCTATGCTTACTTACATCATCATGTTATGGGATGTCCTGTGTATCAATGCAACTTTAACAGTGCAACAAAGCCACCTCAGACAAGCCCAGGCCTTATGCTAACCCAGCTCACCCAGTTTCATTTTCTTCAGCGTGGAGTCAGCATCATCCCGGGGCCGTTTGCGGGAGTCCTTGCTGCTGGGCATATTGCGGGCGATCTCTGCCTGGGGGGTGCCCAGGTCCACCAGCAGGGTGGTGATCTGGGCCTGGAACTCCAAGGAGGCAGGGTGCTTGAGCACACTCAGCAAGTGCAGCTTGAGGTTTTTACGCACGCTGCTCACCTGGGACTTGGCCAGTGTTGGGGGCAGGTTGGCTGTAAGGACAGAGGTGGAAGCTCGATGCTGGGGACAGATCACTGTGTGGTCTGCCAGGCTCAATTCTCAGCCCCAAACAGGGACTCTTGCTGCCGTTCCCTGGGAAATTCCTAGGCTTGCAGAAGGACTGGTAGCCTCCCCCTTTCAAGCTGAGACTGAAAGCCCAAGAGACCTCTACAATATTAGTCCTTTAAGGTGAGAAAACCTAAGTCATTTCTCTGTAGCACTCGAGCCTCAGGTCCCCGTCTCCAATCTGCAGTCCAGTGCTCCCCTGGAGAGAGCTGTGACTGCCACCTTCTCTACAAGCTGCTGACTGAGCGGCTGCCACAGCTCAGGCCAGTCGTCCTGCCACTAGCCAGAGTCTCAGTCACCTTGGTGAGCAAGCTGCCCCTGCTCCACAGAGAAAGAGGACTCTAACTCGGCCTGCACGGTATCTACCATTGGTTCCTTGGCCAGTGCCACTCTCATTCCCTTTTGAGGGAACCACCCTGTCTCCATCCTCTGTCCAAGTATGCAGGAGACTGGAACCAATGAGAACACTGCGTTTCCCTGGCCACTGTGATTGGCTCAGTAGTAGGCTAACAGTCTCTGCTCAGCCAATCATAGACAATGAGTATCAGCCCTGACTTTTGCTGGAATGATGGGGAAAGAGTTGCACTCTCTCTCTGTTGCTAAGTGGCCAGAATAGGGGCCATCTTTACTGCTTCAGCAAACATCCAGAAAACTAAGTCAACACAAGAGCTAGAGATGGACAGACTAGATCCCTGGCCAGCATCCACTCATGTTTCAACTCCAGACTTCTAGAGTTTTATTCAGGCACAAACATGGGAAAATGTGACCAGCAGCCTTCTCTGAGGGATCAGGGGGAGGCTGGAGTGTCAGAAAGGATGCTGTGGCCCAGCATCCCAAGCCACGTTTGAAGCAGTTTTTATCCCACACCAAAGCTTTCTATCTAACATGGAGTTCATGGTGAGCTGCAGTGCCGACCAGCATGCAGGAGAGCATGTAGAGCTCAACAGCTCCTCAGGAACCCGCAACCTGGCCAGGATAACATGGGGAGGGGGACTCTCAACCTACCATGCAGAGTCTCATATGCCTGGATCACCTCGGACATGAACATGGGTCTCTGGCGGGCGATGTTGGCAAGGGAGCCCAGGGCTGTGGTCAGGTTGATGGAGGAGATGGCAGGGTGCACCATGAACTTCAACAGTTGCTCCAAGGCCGCCTTGCCTTCTTCCCACAGGACATCTAAAGGGGAAGAAGAAGGATCAGTCGGTGGTGCCCCAGTGTCCTCCAAAGCCAACACTTCACATTTTGTGCCAACACACTGAGTTCATATTACAGGAAGACAAGTAAAGCAAATTCCATGCAGATCTGCCGAACACATGGAACCACTGTATAGCAATTTTTTTTTGTTTTTTTTTTGTTTGTTTTGTTTTTTTGGTTTAAGACAGGATCTTATTACGTAGCTTGGGCTGGACGCAAACTCATGATTCTCCTGCCTCTACCTCTCAAGTGTTAGGATTTTCAGGCATGTCATGCCCAGTGCATGCAGGGCTGGGGAAAGTTCTGGGCTCTATGCCAGGCAAGCACTCCATCAATTCATCTGCAGCTCAGGCCTGTAATCTCACCAAACTTGGAAGTTCAGCTAAAAGGATCAGAAGTTCAAGGTGACCTTCAACTACACGAGGCTAACCTGAGATGCATGAGGCCCTGTCTGGAACAAAATAAGAAAAGGGGCAGGAGGGAAGAAGGTTGTTGGGGGCTGTGGACTCCCAGACCCTGAATTTCTTGTCAACTTGTTATGCTTGCAGCTGCTCTAAGTAAAACAATTTGTTTTCCTGTGTTTGCAGCTGCTCTGAGCAGGAGACCTGATGGCAGGGGAGTGGTTTCTGGAGGGTCTGATTGGGGCAAGGCTATCAGTTAAGGATCCCTATATAAGCTGCCCTGGAACACAATAAATGGGGCATTCTTGTTTCAAGGATAACCCGTGTCCCCGCCTGTCTGTGTGTGTGTTTTTAAATCTCCAGCCTAGTTCCTGCTTGTGTACCGTCCCGTAGTGCAGGCGCTACAAAGGTGACTGTAAGCAGGGCCAGTGAGTGCATACAGGGCACTAGGGCAGCAACACTCACTGTACTGGATGTAGGGGTGATCTCGGGGGATTCGGTCCAGACTGATGTCATGTTCTTGGCGTCGGGGTACCTCTGAATCAGCCATGCGCGGTGATAGGGTGACAATGAGGCCCTCCACAAACTTGATGGCATGTGTACGGATGCCGTCATTGTCAGAATCCAATAGCAGGATGATTTCTCCAGCCATGGAGGATACCATGTCCCAGCAGGCCTCCTGGAGATCGTTGATGACCCGAGACTTCACCATCCACTGCCAAGGGGCCAGGAGGAACAGAAGAGACAGAGAGAGCCAAGACAACAAATCAACTACCAGCAGGCTCTGCCCCACCTGCAGACTAAATGACTGAGAACATTCACTTGGTTAAACCAACAGCTATGCTCAGTGCTGGGCAGTGCTAGGATGGGGGCGACCAAGACAGAGCTAACTCAATGATGAGGCATCAGATCTCAAAATACAGAAGTAGTAACGGGGTGGCAGGGCTGAAAAGATGGCTCAGCAGTTAAGAGTACTGGCTGCTCTTCCAGAGGACCCAGGTAGGATTCCCATACCTACACAGAGCTCTCAACTGCAACTACAGTTCCAGAGTACCTGATGCTCTCTTCTGACCTCTACAGGCACTGTACACACCCTGCATTGACATACATGAAGCCAAAACACCCACATGCCCCCCTCCAAAGAGCAGCAGTGACTGACCAGCTTCATTTTGCTAGCAATGAATGGCCTAAGCAATGAACTCACTTCTGTGTCATCAAACAACAGTCGAGAACCCAGGTTATTTCCCCACCCTTTAAGATTTGTTTATCTTTATATGTATGGGTGTTTTGTCTGCAGGTATCCGTGCACCACATGTATGTAGTACGCAAGGAGATCAGAAGAGGGCATCAGAGAGCCTGAAATTGGAGTCAGAAACGGTTATGAGATACCATGTGGGTGGTGGGAAGTGAACCTGGATCCTCTGGAAGAGCAAGCATTCTCAACAGCTTGGCCATCTCTGCAAACTCATGATCCTTTTTTAAAAATTGCTATTATTTTTGTAGTCCAAGGTGGCCTAGAACTTTCTGCCTCAGCCTCACATGCTGGGCTAACAGGTGAGCAACCCATACCTGGCTGTGCTAATTCTTTAGTCTGTGTCCCTCACTGAGCTAGCACTGTGAAGGCCGTACCTAGAGTCGTGGTCTTCGCTGTCCCTGCACCACCTGGCAGAACAGAAGGCTTCAAAGTGGAGATTCTCTGGGAATGTTTGTTGAATGCTAAATGAGTGGTCTCAGAAGACAACATTCGATGCCCTGTTATCTGTTCTCACAACAGCAGAAACCTCGCTCATGACAAGCTTGAGTTTGGCAGGACTGGCAGTACAGGCCATAACCCAGCAACGGGAGGAGCCATAGGCGGGGAGAGGGAAATTCAAGGTTTTCCTGGGCAACTCAGTCTTGAGCTCAACACCCAGAACCAAACCAAATCACACGGTGACGTGGCCATCCTTCATTGGGAAGGCCCAGCTGACCCTCACCTGCAAGGCCACCTTGTAGAGCTGGGTCATGGTGAGGATGGCTTTCTTTACCACATTCACGTTTTCATCCCGCAGGAGCATGTTGAGGTTGGCAATCAGTTTTAGTAGCAGTTCAATGTCCCGCTTGCTGCGGAGAAAAGAGAAGGGACCAGGTCATGCTGGCCTTGGGGTAGGGAAGAGAGACTCAGGCCCATAAATCAAGCAATTGAGGTAGAAGTGTCAGAATCTTTGTTGCCAGCACATTCAGTAGTGGAGGAGGATGCTGACACCTCTACTTTAGGCTGCCGTGGGCCCCTGTACCATAGCTGGTCCTGCAGCCTTCACTCCTTCAACTCTGCAGGGCCCCACTGTCTATGTAAGTGACAGCTAACAACTGTTTGAAGTTTGACCAGAGCATCATCTTTTTCTCTGAGACAGAGTCTCAGTCCCAGCTTGGCATCCAACTACCTACACAGGTGAGGATGACCTTGAGCTCCAGATCCTCCTGCCTCCACATCCCGTGTGCTAGGATTTATAAGTATGTGCCACCACACAGATTTATAAAATGCAGGGGATGGAACCCAAGGCCTTATACATTCTAGACAAGCACTCTAACTGAGCTACATCCTCAGCCCTGTTCCTTCATCCTATTTGAAGAACACCTACTGCACAAGTGGTGAAAACAGGCACAGAAACCATCAAGTTTGTAATGAAAGGACTTAGTAAAAACATCTAGTTTTGTTTACTCAAGTCTGAAGGCTCCATAGGGACCCTTTGGTAGGACTAAGAACTGGCAGGGTCAGTTTGTTTGCCAGAGAGAATGAAAGGCCTCCAGTAACGTCTGGTCAAGGAACAACGAAATTTGAGAAGGCCACCCCCCCCAGAACTCAGCAAATTAATGTAATTTTTCACAACATAAGTTCCATTCTGATTCTTTTTTTTTCAAAAATTTATTATGTATACAACATTCTGCCGCCATATATGCCCGAACGCCAGAAGAGGGCGCCAATCTCATTACAGATGGTTGTGAGCCACCATGTGGTTGCTGGGAATTGAACTCATGACCTCTGGAAGAGCAGCCAGTGCTCTTAACCACAGAACCATCTCTCCAGCCCCATTCTGATTGATTCTAAGCAACAGTTGCACCATTCAAAAAATATGAAATATCAAAGAAACAAATAAAAAAGACCAAAAAAAATAGGCTGGAGAGATGGCTCAGTGTTTAGGGCACTGGCTGCAGGCCTGGGCTACAGGAGACTGGACTCTCCCATGCCAGAAGGCTGGGCGGTGCAGCTTTACCCCATGCTGTGTCCCTCAGCACACTGGGACACATCTGCTACACACACCACTTTTTTGTGAACTCCGAAAACTTAGTACAGCTGTGTGTGTTGGCAAATGCTACAGTTTCAGCACTGGGGAGGCTGAGACAGAGCATGACTGCCCCAAGTTCAAGGCCACAGTGAGAACCTGTCTCCAGCAAACAAACACACACACAGAAAACTACCGCTGGGGCTGGAGAGATGGCTCAGTGGTTAAGAGCATTGCTTGCTCTTCCAAAGGTCCTGAGTTCAATTCCCAGCAACCACATGGTGGCTCACAACCATCTTTAAAGAGGTCTGGTGCCCTCTTCTGGCCTGCAGACATGCACACAGACAGAATATTGTATACACAATAAATAAATATTTAAAAAAAAAAAAAAACTACCGCTGATTTTCCCAGTGAAGGGGGAGTGTGACAATGTAAGGCACTGGGTTCAGAGACACAGGGTAACAAAATGGAAGTCTGCTAAGTTCCGCCAAATGAGCCTGGGAAACCCACCTGACCCTCCAAGCCAATTTTCCCAGTTAAACAGATCAAGAATGAGGCCTTGCAGCCTCATGCTGAAGGTTGAACAACATGTAGGTCAAAACTCAATAGCTCCTGGCAGGCTAGGAGGATAACAAAAACAGCTGTTTTATCTCCTCCCCCTTACAGAGCCAAGAGTGAGTAAAGACAGGAACAAGCTACGTCCCCTTCTGAGTCTCAGAGAGGGTGACTGGCCCCATCTAAGGCTCAGAATGAGAGTAAAGGAGATATTGAGCCACTGTTAGATGTCCTTGCTTGTTCAGCACCTCCCTTGTCCCCACTGTTAGAACCAACCCTGTCTGAGGCCACTGAGACAGAGGCTTTGCTGTGAAGCTGACATTTATTGTGGTGAGTTACCCAGGTGACGTGGAGCACCACAAAGAACAGCGACAGTGAAGACAAAAGTGCCAATGAGCCGGGTGATGGTGGCGCACGCCTTTAATCCCAGCACTCGGGAGGCAGAGACAGGCAGATCTCTGTGAGTTCGAGACCAGCCTGGTCTACAGAGCTAGTTCCAGGACAGGCTCCAAAGCCACAGAGAAATCCTGTCTCGAAAAACCAAAATAAGAAGAAGAAGAAAAAAGAAAAGTGCCAATGGGCAGGAGCCAAAGGGAACGCTCAGAAAAGATTTTCTGAGGAACCCTGGAGAAGAAGGAATGGCCACCTAGGGTCACAGGCCAAGCAGAAGCAGACCAGCTATGAAGGACACTGATGTCTTATGTCAGGCGAATGCTCAGACGGCCAGCAGCAGCCTAAGGTAGGCACAGTAAGACACATGTCCTCTCAGCAGGTCACCCGGCTATGTGCAGAGGTAAGCAAACAGATGAAGGGTATGGTTCCCATCTGGCAGAGGTTTCAGAACTAGACTGTGAGATCAGGGGCAAACCTCCTATTCCAGAAACAGGAAGACAGACAGGAGGACCAAAAATTCAGGGTTATCATCTGTTACGAAGTGAGCTCCAGGCTAGCCTAAGCCTCATCAGGACCTTGTCTAGAGCAAACAAGAACGACAGAGTAAATGCACTAAGCACCACTGATGATTGTTTTAAAATAGTACGGGGATGGGGGGTGAGCTGGAGACAGCTGAGCAGTTAAGAGTGCAGACTGCTCTCAAAGAGAACCCGAGTTCACTTCCCAGTACTGTGTCACCTCAGCCAGGTTCGAGAGAAGCCAAAGTCACCTGCTAAATGTATTCTGAAAGGAGGACTGCCACTTTGACTAACAGAGCAACCGTGAACTGCTGGCTGAAGTGCATGGACTGTGACATCCAGGACTGCAATCCCATTAAGTGTGTGTTGGGGGAGGGACTCTGGGGAACACACACCAGGACACCCAGGCACTCCCAAAGAGGCCCCATACCATGCCTCCTCAATGAAGCCAATGACAAACTTGCGCACTTCAATGGACTTGTCTGCTTGGAAAGCGATGATCTCCTGCAATATCAGAGGGAAGATGGATCAGGCCACACTAAGGAGCATTACCTCACCTTTATCCCACCCCCCAGGCTGATCACTCACATCCAGAAAGTTGTCAAGCAGGGTGGGGTCTTTGTTGATGATCAGCTCCTGGACCTAGGAGGAACAGACATAAAACCAGGCTCCAAAGTCAAGCATGATGGCTCTTGCTCATAATCCCAGTACTTGGAAGGCTGAGACAGGATTGTCATGCTATCAAGACAGCCTGGAGTATGGGCTCTACCTTCAAAAACTAAAACTAGGGCTGGAGAGATGGTTCAGAGGTTAAAAGCACTAGCTGCTCTTCCATAAGTCCTGAGTTCAATTACCAACAACCGCATGATGGCTCATGACCATCTATAATGAGATCTGGTGCCCTCTTCTGTCATGCAGGCATACATACAGGCAGAACACTGTATACATAATAAAAACTAAAAATAAGGGCCAGCAAGATGGCTTAGTGGGTAAGGTGCTAGTCACCCATGCCTGAAGATTTAAATAGCATCTCTAGGAGCTGCTTGGTAGAGAGAGCCAGCTCCAGCAAGCTGTCCTCTGACATCATATGCTTGGTCAGGCACACTTGAAATAAAGAAAATGAAAATAAGGGCTGGGAGATGCTCAATGGGTAAAGCACTCCCTCAGCAAGCATGCACAGAGTTTGGATCTCCTGAGCACCACAGCTGCAGCCCCAGCACTTCAGAGGCAGAGACAAGCTCTCAGGCAGCTGACTAGCTAGACTCTCTGGGTTCTACTGAGAGACCCTGCCTTAATAAAGTGGAGAGTGACTGAGGAATACACGTCAACTTTAGGTTTCTACATGTATGCACACATGCATGCATCTCATACCACGCTACCAAGCACCTACATCCATGTGAACAAGCACACATGCACACCAAAGATACAGGGAAAATAAAAAATTCTTAATTTAAATATAGGGCTAGAGAGATAGTTCAGGAGTGAAGAGCACTGGCTGCTCTTCCAGAGGACTAGGTTTGTTTTTGCCTTTTTTTTTTTTTTAATTTTACTTATTTTTACTTTAAGAACATTAGTGTTTTGAAAGCATGGATGTCTGTGTGAGGATGTCGAATTCCCTGGAACTGGAGTTACAGACAGTTGTGAGCTGTTAGGTGAGTTCTGGGAATTGAACCCAGGTCCTTTGGAAGACCAGTTGGTGCTCTTAACCTCAGAGTCATCTCTCCAGTCCCAAGGGTTAGGTTTGATTGCCAGCACCCAGTCACAACCATCTGACTCCAGCGCCAAGGTGATCTAATGCCCTATTCCGGCCTTTGTCAGCACTGCATGCTCATGGTGCATATACACACATGTAGGCAAAACACAGAAAACTAACAAAGAAACAAATGTCAAATAAAAAAATAAACCCAGATTCACACAGACAAGAATAGGAAGGAAGCAGCACTGGTGGTTCTGGCATCCCTGACCCCAAGCCTCAAATGCTATGCTGTATCAGACCCTCATAGATCAAGGTTCTCACAGGCCACTGGGAAGCTTCCCTGCACCTTAGAGGGGAGGCAGGTCCTGGTCAGCAGTGAGGACACTATATCTAAGAGTACTAGACAAAAGAGTTGAGCCTCGTGGCATAGGCCTATGATCCAAGCTTCTTGTGGAGACAGGAAGATTACAAGTTAAACACCTGCCTAGGCTGCAGAGTGAACTCATTATAGTTTAAACATCTCAGAACACTTCTCAACAAAATTAAGCCAGCTGTGGTGGCACACACCTTCAATTCCAGCACTTGAGAGGCAAAGGCAGGTGGATTACTGTGATTTTGAGGCAAGCCTGATCTACACATTGAGCTGTAAGACAGCCAGGACTACATAGAGAGACCCTGTCTCAAAAAACCAAATAAATGAATGAAAGAATTTGAATAAATAGTAAAAAGGGCTGAGAATGTAACTCAGCAGTACAGTGCTTGTCCAGCAAGCCAAGGCTCTAAATCCAACCCCAAGGATAAGGAAAAGGGGAAAACCCCTAGGGTTCCTGCCTTCCTGAGGTTCAGCCTCCTTTTTGTTTGAGACAGGGTTTCTCTGTAGCTTTGGAGCCTGTCCTGGAACTCGCTCTTGTATAGACCAGGCTGGGCTCCAACTCACAGAGATCCGCCTGCCTCTGCCTCTCAAGTGCTGGGATTAAAGGCGTGTGCCATCACTGTCCAGTTTCAGCCTCCTTTTACCTATCTGTCAGTTCTCTATCTTTACAAGGGCAGCATCCCGTAAGCATTCCAACATGACTGCCTACATGTCAGTTTTTTTATGTTTTGAGACGGGCTCTTAACTATCTCAAAGCTGGAAGTTTTAGCTAGGCTGACTAGTCAGTGAGCTCCCAGAGATGAGGTCACATGCATAGCCATGTCCAATGGGTATTGGAGGTTTAAACTCAAATCCTTTTGCTTTCACAGTGAGCCATTACCCCAGTTCCCACATTCTTTGAAAATAATACCTCCTCCCAGACATCCTCCTGAAAAACCAAAGATGGTCCAAAACTTCAATGATACAAGTCCAAGTGTTGCTGGTAAGTCACCTTCATAAGCACACCACCACCAGCATCTACTCTACTGCACTCACGGGATGGGTTGGCACCTTCTGACCACATGCTGAACAAGCCCAACAAGGGTCCTGACCTAGGCCTATAGTCTTTAAAGTATATTTTTTTCTTCATGCTGCTGGGGAGAAGGATCCCAAGACTTTGTACTTTTTTAAGTAAAGAGCATATCTACTACTGAGCCACACCCCAGCCCTCACTGGGGTTCTAGGCAGGGGCTCTACCACTGAGCTATGTCCCCAGCCCTCACTGGGGGATTCTAGGCAGGGGCTCTACCACTGAGCCACACCCCAGCCCCTCACTGGGGGATTCTAGGCAGGGGCTCTACCACTGAGCCACGCCCCAGCCCCTCACTGGGGGATCCTAGGCAGGGGCTCTACCACTGAGCCACGCCCCAGCCCCTCACTGGGGGATCCTAGGCAGGGGCTCTACCACTGAGCCACGCCCCAGCCCCTCACTGGGGGATCCTAGGCAGGGGCTCTACCACTGAGCCATGCCCCAGCCCCTCACTGGGGGATCCTAGGCAGGGGCTCTACCACTGAGCCACACCCCAGCCCCTTACTGGAGATTCGAGGCAGGGGCTCTACCACTGAGCTATGTCCACAGCTCTCACTGGGGGACTCTAGGTATAGGCTCTGCCACCAAGCTGTGCCTTCACCCTATCCAATGACCTCTGAATGCCATCTTGGCTTCTTATTCTGAAGGAACCCTATCCTCTTCTACTTTAGCACACGCTTTGGTGCTGTGTCTGGTTATCCCTTACGTCTTTTCTTCCTCCAGCACTCGGTTCAGATGTCCCCTTTCAGAAAACTCTCCCTGACTCCCTATCCTGGACAGGTTAGGTGATTTCTCTTGATTCTGCTTGTCAGTCCTGCCCACTATGCGTCATCACTGTTTGGTCACCCTACTAGACCATGGAGAGAGGAAAGACACAGGATCTGCAGGTGGACCCCACAATCCAAGGGCTACTTTGGCCAGCTACTAGCAGAATGACCTTAGAATCACTCTCTATACTGAGGTCTGCTTCTCTGTGTATAAACAACAGGTGACCCCTCCACCTGCCATCCCCAGGCCCAGATTTGGGGGGCACTGAATGAGCATGCTGCGCAGCATTGCACTCTGAGATACAGATATGTACAAGTGAATCATGAATGAGTGTATCACAGGTGAGTGTCCATGTGAAGGTATGTATGAATGCATCACAGGTGTGTATGTGTGTGTACAGGCATGTGTGACTATGGGTGTTACCAATACTCTCTCAGTGACTCTATCCCCTGCCCCTGTCCTGCCCGCCCTCTACCTTACCCCCAACTCACCTGTTTGAGCACTGTGATCTTTGAGTCATTGGTGATCAGCGCTGCCTGGTTTAGAAGATCTACCACCTGGAAGGAGGGACGAGCTAGGTGTCACACACAGCCTGTCTTGCTGGGCCAAGCCAGTCCCCACAGTCCTCCTAAGCTCTGCTGCCTGGGCAGTGTCATGCAAAGGCAGGAGTCACACTATCACTACCAAGCCCTCAGCTCTACTCACTCACCCTCTCAGAAGTGGTCATGCCATCAATGCCTGGTCCTTCCTCTTGTGTGAAAAACTGCGATGCCACACTCCGGCGGGTGACACTGTCCCCGCTGCCACTTGCCATGACTGCTGTCAAGTTCTCCCTGAAAAAGAAACTAGTAAGTTTCCCTATGCAGTCCTCCTTCCTTTAGGCCGCATATAGAGCCTATGTTCATGGTCAGGGCGTCCAATGACAAGAGAACGATATTCCTGTCAGAGGCACAATGCTTCATCTCCAATACTTTTTATTATTTTCTTAAACACAGGATGTCAGGTAGGTTGGGCTGGTCTAGTAGTCAAAGATGGCCATCAATTCCTACTCCTTCTGTCTGTGCCTCCCAAGAGCTAGAATTACAGGTGTGCACAGCCACATACGGTTCCAGGCCAGTCAGGGCTGCATAGTAAGATCCATCTCAAGAAAAAAAAAAGAAAGAAAGAAAGAAAGAAAGAAAGAAGGAAAGAAAGGCTACCTACAATTAGGTGTGGTGGTGCCTATCTCTCATCTCAGCATTTTCAAGATGCAGGAAGATGAAAAACATCAGGAGTTTAAGGCCAGCCTCAGTTACACAGCGTGTTCAAAACCAGTCAGAGCTTCTTCATATTGTCTCCAGAAAAAAAGAAAAAAAGAAAGAAAGAAGATTCATTGCAATACAGCATCCTTAAGCTGTTCCTTCTGTGAAAGTGAGGGAGATGAACTTCCACAGTTAGCACAAAGTCATACTGACAAGTCCATGAAGTGACTGAGAGCAGACATCACATACAGCAAGCAGCACAATCTACCCAAGAGCTCTTACACAGGCAGACAGGCTGCAAAGGCACACCTACATACAGAAGGGCTCTGCAAGCTGAGGGACAGTGCTGCAGAGCATGTGCAAGGTCCCGTGTGGCACAGGATGGACCCGGGATAAATGAGCAAGCCAACAGACAACAGGGCTGTAAAAAGAAAACGAGAGGGAAGCCGGGCAGGCGCACACACTCTAGTCTTAGCAGTCTTGGAGTCTGAGGCAGGAGGATTGTGAGTTCTAGCCCAGCTGGATAGCTAAGCAAGACCCTGTTTCGAGAGAAAGGAAGGATTATGGAAAATGGAAAGTCTCTATACACTGACAGAACTCTGTGAGGACCAGCAGAGTGAAAGAGAGAGTTGAGAGGGAGGTCTGGTAAATGAAGAAAACCAAAGTCAGGGTCGTATAATCCTGGCAGTCAGGAGGTGGAAGTGGGACTGGAGAATCGGCTCAGTGGGTAGAGTACTAGCTGCTCTCCAGAGAACCTGCATTTGTTGATCCCCAGCACCCATATGACAGATCAGAACTGTAAAGCTAGTCCTGGGGGATCTGAAACCCTCTCTGGCCTCCGCAGGTACATTGCACATACTTGGTATTGAAACATAAATGCAGCATAACACCCATACATATAAAGATTAAATTTAAACAAATAAATTAGTCCTAAATTATGTAACTGAAAATCTAAAAGACAGCATTGGACATAACTAAGTTTAAATGGATTTAACCTATAAACTAAACAGGAACACTCTGCTGGATATCACAGGCTAATAAATAAAGGTTTAGTTGGGCAGTGATGGTGCACACCTTTAATCCCTTTAATCTAGAGTTCCAGGACAGTCAGGGCTACAGAGAAATATACATACAAACATACATAAAAGTAATAAGTCTATTGAAAAGGCTAGAGTGAAAGTAACTTGGTCTCCGTAAACCCTAGCCACGCTGGCCTCAGACTCAAGAGATCCACCTGCCTCTACCACCCAGCTAAAGTTAGCCCAGCTAACTGTTCTCTTTTTATTTTGAGTCAGATGTGAAGGGCTGTCACTCCCACATCTTGCTTAGAGTCAGGGTCATAGTCACAGTCCTGCCCTCAAGACCTACAAAGTCTTCTTTCTAGACGCTAGCCTTGTCTCCCTCTGGCCTCTTTGCAGTCAGCTCACCCCACCCTGCACACCCCTTTCTCTAAGTCTATTTCTTCTCTTGCCCCCAGAGATCTAGTCTTTCCTCCCTAGGGAGGCCTTCCCCACTCCAAATTTACACACACACACCCTGCGCAATCCAATCTGTTCCTTTTGTCTCCTGCTACTGACCATCACCACGCCCCATGTCTGTTCATTAAGCAAAGGGGCATGGCCACCATACACAATGCTCCTTGGACCAGAAGGTAAGAAACTGTCCACTCTTTCTGGATGATACATCAAGAACCATCAAAACTTTCCTTTCTCTTTGCTTTACTCTTTAATTTTCTGGGTTTTGTTTTGTCTTGAGTATATATTCCTATTTTTCTTTTTGACTATTTTTCAATTGTTAAAACGATGTTCAGCTGCCCATCGGTATCAGAGATTGGCTCAAGGGTCCACTTCAGATCAAAATTCAGTCCCTTATTTAAAATAAGACTGTTTGGCCAGATGGGGTGGCATACCCTTTTAATTCCAGCACTAGCAGCAGAGGCAAGATGATCTCTTAGGGCCACTCTGTTTTAAAAAAAAATCAGTACCATTGGGGCTGAGGACAGAGCTCAGCTGGTATTTAGTTGTTTAATATGCACAAAGCTCCAGGTTTCATCCCTAGCACCACAGAAAAGCAGTGGTGTAAAATTCAAGATCATCTTCCACACACAGTGAGCTGGGAAGCCAGGCTGGGCCAGGAGACCTTACCACAAACAAAAGGGCAGTGTTCAAGTGAAACCCATATACCCTCTGGCACACGTTAAAACCATCTCTCACTGGGCGCTGAAGGCACCTGCCTTTAATCCCAGCACTTGGGAGGTAGAAGCAGGCGGATCTCTTGAGAGTTCAAGGACAGCCTGGTCTACAGTATGAGTTCTAGGCAGCCAGAGCTGTTACACAAAGAAATCTTGTCTCAAAAAAAAGAAAATGGAAAAAAACTCTCCCCAGCGGACTAGAGATGGAAGCCAAGGCCCCTGTGCTCTACCACTGAGCTATAGCCTCAGTCCTTTTTGCTGTTTAGGGACAGGGTCTCACTAAGTTGCCCAGGGTGCCAGTAAACTCATTCTGTAGTCCTGTCAAGGACTAGAACTCTGTGATCCTCCTGCCTCAGTTTAAAAGTAGCTGGAGTACTCGGGAGGCAGAGGCAGGTGGATCTCTGTGAGTTTGAGGCCAGCCTGGTCTACAAGAGCTAGTTCCAGGACAGGCACCAAAAACTACAGAGAAACCCTGTCTCGAGAAAAAAAAAAAAAAAAAAAAGTAGCTGGAGTAACAAACAGGTCCCTGCCACTAAGCCTAGCTTAAATCATCTCCAGATGACTTAAAATACCTAATGCAGTATAAATACTATGTAAATGTTGTTACATTGTATTGTTTAGGGACTGATGCTTAAAAAAAAAAAGCTTCACATGGTCACTGTTAATTGGTTTCCTGAATATTTCAATCTAAGGTTGGCTGAATTAACACATGTGAACTTCTGGGTAGATGGCTGTCAACTTGTACATAAACTATTTTCTATTTCACTGTTTTTCTCTTAATAAATGCTAGAGCTCAGTCTATTTTTTTCCTTTTTTTCAACACCTGCATATCATTTTAATACATAAAATGTAATTACTGATTTCAGCCAGCTGTCTACTGAATAGTTGCCATTCTTGCAGTCTGGCTATCTGAAACACTAAGACTCCCTCCCCTTGTTGGATCTTAGTGGTGAACTGCTCCTCCCACAAGGAAGTACAACAACTCCCCTGTTACCCTAAGGAGTGGATCTCCTCCGAGTTTTTTGTTTTTTTTTTTTTTCATTCATTCAACGAACATCAACTGAGCCAGTCCAGTGTGGGATGTGCGCTGTGCTGGGAACCAGGTTCGGACCGAGACACACCCAGTCCTGGCCCACAAAGAGCTCAGGATCAGCGGCATCTTTAGACAGCACAGAAATAAAACCTTAATAACGAAGTCGACCACACGTGAAGGGAGGGAAAAGCACGGGGACCTATGAGAGCCTTCAGCTGGAGGATTTGGGGAGAGGGTGGGAAACCGGGGCTTCATAGGGGAAGTGACGTGCGGTGCCGAGCCCCCCAACCCCAAGGATGAAAGGGAGTTACTCAGACCGATGGATAACAGAATGTTTCGAGAGTGGAGGAATGGGGGTGGTGGGGGGGGGGAGGCACAGCCTGTGCAAAGGCCCCGAGGCGGGAAGGCACATGGCCGGTCTGAGGTCGTGAAGAGCCAGTTGCAGCTGTGCTCAGCGGAGGATGAGCCAAGGCGCAGACTGGAGGCGGAGGAAGTCTGCGGGCGGACTTCTGCGGGGGCCACGCTGGAACTTGGACCGCGGGGGACTGGGTAGCCAAGGAAGGGTCCTAGGCAGGGGGAGAAGAAGCAAGGGCCCTGGACGCCGCTGCTCCCGGCCCTCCCCGAGGCCCTCCCCGCCGCTCGCGCCCCGGCCTCGTCAGCGCCCCTCCTCCCCTCGCCCCAGGCCCTTATGCCGCCACCCGCTCACCGCGACTCCGGCCTCCGTCCCCCTCGCGCCCCCTCAGCAGCGCCTCTCGATAGACGGGGCCGCCGCCATCTTCCGCCTGCCGCCGTGACACAGCGCAGGCGCTGCACTAGTAGGGCCGCCGGGAAATGGAGTCCCGCACCGCGGCCCGTCCCCGCCCCTACGGCGTGCCGCGTCGGCAGCCGACCGCCCTCCCCGGGTGTCCACCGGGGCGGCCGCCATTTCCGACCTTCGAGCGCCATGCCTTTTGGGAAATGTAGTTCGTGGTGCGCAGGCGCTGGACGGAAATGGAAATGGAGGCTTCTGGGAAATGGAGTTCTCGGGGGTCGGCGGCCCCACCTCCCTAGACGGCCGACTGTCGTTAGTTAGAGTGGAGAGTGCTGTGAGCGGAGCTCCTGGGTCTTGGAGATCTAGTGCCTTAACGGGGTCTGAGCAAAAGCTCTGAGCCTTTCCACCGCTGGCCCTGAGCCTGTACACAGCCTGCAGCATTTGCATTCGTCGAAAGCCTCAGTCTTCCCGTCTGTCGAATGAGAATGTGCTTTCAAGAATCTCTGTGGGCTACTTACGGTGTCGTACAGGGACCGGTGGAATCCTGAACACTGTCTGCCTCCTCTCCTTCGTGGTGGACATGCGGGGCTCTGGTGTTTCCCTCTCTTAGGTGGAGATGATGGAACACCTCGAGGCGGAAAGATTCCCCCTCCTCTCGCGTTGTGACTCTAGGGCTCTTGGGATCAGCAGTGTGTGGTCTTACACCCCCACCCCGGGTAGCTCCCCCACTCTTCATCCATCGCTTGCTCCCAGGTGCCAGGACTGTGGCTCCCGGTGCCTAAGGTCTGTCTCCTTGCTATCCCGCAGGGGGCGCCCCAATCCGAGCGCGCGGCCCTAGGGGAGGTGGGAGGAGAGCCCGGGGCGGGCCAGGGCGGGGGTGTCCCGGCTATAAAAAGTGACTGCCTCCCAAGGCGCCTGGGCCAGCGGGACTCCCGGGCTGCGAGCCTCAGTTCAGAACTCGGGGCCAGTGCCTGCAGAGAGACCGGATCTCTCGGTTCCCCCGGGGGGGCCGCAGCCTGGGCGTGTGGGGGCACAGGCCCGGGGGATGCTGGGCTCGGTGAAGATGGAGGCTCATGACCTGGCCGAGTGGAGCTACTACCCAGAGGCGGGCGAGGTGTGTCCTCGGGGATGGCGGAGCGGGAAATGGGGGGGCAGGTGTGGGGCTGCGAGCTTAAGTGCAAACAGGGGCCGTGTTGTGGGCCCAGGTGAGAGCAAAGACCTGGGGACACAGACACCAAGCATGGGAGCCGGGAACAGGGGGACAAGGCTTGAGAGAGCGATTGAGACAAGCAAGTTGAGGCGATCGTTTGCTTCCAAACGAAGAAATGCTAGCAAGAATACACACTTGAAAGATGTTGAGACCCTGATAAAAATGAACGAATTGGAGGTGGGATTCGGGGCTCTAGGATAGGGGATAGAGCTGGAGGACCTAAAGAAACGAGGTTCAAAGTAGAGAGGACGGGTTAGGAACCCCCACTATGGAAAGTCTGTGGTGGAAGTTTAGGGTTAAAGACGGGGCGGGGGGCAGGCTTTGGGCGGTTAGGATCAGAATTAGGGTTGGGGATAAAGATCGGCTGGAGAGCCTTATAAGGTAGGGGCCAAAATAGGGGTTATCAGGGTCCTTTTGGAGAACTTACTGTAACAGGTGGCTTAGGTAGACTAGCCCTCAGATGACGTCAGCCTTGGGAGATCAAAAGACATGTGGGCATCCACACCTGTGTGGTAGGAATCATCCTTACCATGACCTTCAGCAGGGACCCCCTTCAGACCATGCACAGTCTAGTCATTGCTAGATTTGCCTTAGTTCCTTCGCCAACCAACAGAAAGTCCCTCTTCACGTCTAACTCCTATTTGTCCTGGCGCAAGGGACTTATTCTTTGTTCAGTCGCCCTGTAATCCATATTGTGATGATGGGGAAAGGACATAAGGTTCTGGACCCATAGATCCTAACCTAGGAGACTTAAGGTGTGTGGGGGGGGACTGGAGTGGCGGGGCTCACCAACAGTCATTTAATAGTTGGGGGGGGGGGTAACTAGGGTCTGTATTTTCAAGTTGTAGGGTTGGACTCCCGACTTGGCCAGAAGCCTGGGAGGGGGCCTGTCCTGGGTCTGGGGAGGGGTTAAGGGGGCAGAGCCGAGGAAAGGATTGGGACTGTGGGGAGGTGGGAGGGAGAGGGCTGGAGATGTTGGTAATATTATGGGGAAGGCAGAGGCCAGGGTGGTCCGTGGAGGCTTTCAGGTGGTTGGGAGTGTGATTAGTGGGTTTAGGGTCAGCCCCAAATAGGTCCTTCTGGGGACATAGCTAAACAAGTTAGTCTGGGGGAGGGGGAGTCTAGGGAGGAGAAACTAAAGTTTGGGGGTGGCATGTGGATGGCCCCCCACCCAGTTTAGGAGACAGTGTATATGGAGACTGTCAGACCAGTCGTGGTTTTCCATGCCTGTAAACCTAGCACTTGGGAAACTGAGGCAGGAGGATGACAAGTTTGAGGTCGGCTACATAGCAAGTTCCAGGACATCTTGACCTGCTACAGAATGAGATCTTGGGGAAGGGGAGTGAGGTGAGGCCAGCCTAAATGTAACTTTGAAAGAGTCAGCATAAGGAGAGACTGGATGGTTTGGAACTACTGTTGAAGGTCCGTGTTCTCCCCCATCCCCGCAGTCCCCCACCCCTTAGCCCCCAGCCCTTTCCTCTGCCATGCACCGCAGGGTACTGGCAGTGTTGGCAGCACCTGCCGCTTCTCAGCAGGAAAGCCCACCTCTCTCTTGCTCTTGAGAACAATGGGTGGGCTACATTCCGCTAGGACTAAGAATAGGCAAGACTCCTCCAATGGCTTCTGCTGGGGGGGGGGGGCGCAGAGAGGTTAATACCCGTGTCCTACTGTGGCCAGCTGGCTCTTGGAGAGTGACCATCCTGGGAGAAACCCATAGAACCTTAGGCTTCTACACATTACCTGTCCCAACACCCCTCCCCCCACCCCCGTTTAAGAGGTGGGCAGTAGGGCACCCTGCAGGGTGCTGGGGTCCTCAGGTTGGGTCTGGAACTGGAAGTGTCTCCCTGCTGCCTAGCACACCCTTCTCCAGAAACAATAAGGAAATGAAAAGGGAGAAATTGCCGCCTCCCAGGTGGGGATGCAGGTCCCCTGAGGGCTACCCCCCACTCTCAGCCACACCCTGAGTAGGGGAGATCCGGTTTAGACCCGGACTTCAGGGGTTCATCCCAGCCTTGGGGCGTGGGAAAGCCTAGGGTGGATTAGAGCAGCTGGAGTGCTTGAGGTCAGACCTCAAGAAGAACTTCCGGGTGGGTGGGGAGCCAGAAAAGGAAGGTCCTGAGGTCCCGGGGTTGGAGAAGTAAAGTGAGGTACAAAGGGATTAAGAGACTCTGGATCCCCCCCCCCTCCAAGCCATCACTTTTCCCTTCGAAGGGGAGGAGCAGAAGCAGTGGAGGAGGGTAGGAACCAGTCTCCTGGGGCTGCACATGGGGCTTGGGGGAAGGGAGAAAGAGTCAAAAAAGGGGGAGACTGAGGCCAGCAGATGAGTTGGTGAGCGACAAACTCTGGATGGGAGAGGGAAGAGATGGATGGGGGACAGACACTGGAAGGGGAGGGGTGCGGAGCTTCTGGGCTGGGGCTGGAGGGACACATGGCGGGAGGATAGCAATGGCCAGTGCAGGAGCCAGGGTTGGTGGTAAACATCTTTAATCCCTGCACTAGGGAGGGGGAGGCAGGAGAATTGCCATACATCTGGAGGCAGCCAGGGACCATAGCAAGACCCTTTGTCAGAGGGAGGGAAGAAGGAATAACATTGTGAGAGACCTAACAAAAAGAGCTGCCTGCAGAACCCTGTGTGGTGGAAATACCTGGAAAGTCAGCCTTTGGGGAGTGGGGGCAGGAGTTCAAGGCTATCCTTGTCTGTATAGCAAAAGCTTCCTGTGTGGGTGTCGGGGGAGGGGGGAAGGGAGAGGTGGCTCAACAGTTAAGAGTGCCATACTGCTCTTGCAAAGGACCTGAGTTCAATTCCCAGCATCCACATTAAGCAGCTCACAGCTGCCTATAATACCTGATCCAGGGGATCTGAAAGCCTTTTCTGGCCTCTCTCAGCACCCACACTCACTTGCACATACCCAAAACAGATACCTACATAGAATGAAAAAATATTAAAAAAAAAAAAAGGCTACCTGAGGCTGTAGCACACTTGGTAAAATGTTTACCTGGTGTTCAGACAGCCCTGGCTTTGGTCCTCTGGTTCCCAGCATGATCTAAAACAGGCATGCTGCCCATGCTTGTAATCTCAGCTCTTGGGAGATAGAGCAGAAGAATCAGGAGTTCAAGGTTATCCTAGGTTAGCTCAAGGATAGCCTGGGCTACACAATACTCTTGTCAAATGGAGGAAGAAGGGAAGGGAGAAAAGAGCTACCTGGAGGCATAGGTGGTTGTCACCGGTCCCTGACTCCCTAAGCTGTTCTGACAGCTCCCTTTGTTCTCTGGACCTCGGGTCCAGCTAATTCTCACAGTGTCAGAGAACCAGAAACCCGGTGGTTTCCATTCAATCAGCACCAAGTCTAAGGTCCCTCCAAAGCCGTGAGATCCCAACTGGGAAAGGGGAGGGTGCTCAGGCATATGGAAGACTGGAAGAGAGAGGAGGGAGGCCAGTGAGGAGACAGGGTAGGTATATCTAGAAATAGGAGGGCTATGCAACAAGCTTAGTGTTTTTGCTGCTCTTTAGGATCACTGACTTCCAGCTAGACTGTCGGCTCCACAAGGGTGGGCGCTTCTGGCTGTCCTGACTGCAGCTTTTAAAACGTGGTCCAGGACATCCATTATGCCCAGGTTCTGGACTCCCAAGATTCTTTCTCTTCCTTTCTGTGTGTCCCTCTGGGCCATAGCTGACTCAGCTGTAAAGTGGGTGTCAAAAGAACTTAAAGCAAGGAGTGTAGCTCAGTGGTAGAGCCCCTGCCTAGAATCCCCCAGGGAGGGGCTGGGGTGTGGCTCAGTGGTAGAGCTCCTGCCTAGAATCCCCCAGGGAGGGGCTGGGGTGTGGCTCAGTGGTAGAGTCCCTGCCTAGAATCTCC